TGGGGCGTCGTCGTTAGTCAAGACTTAAAGACTACTGCACGCTGCCGTGCAATAGCCGTCAAAGGTTTTAGAACTTTATGGTCAGTATGTAGGGCTTTTAGATATGTCGACGCTAACAGGTTTTTGATTCTTTGATTTTCTCATCGAATAATCAACGAGTGGAATTGATTTCCTCAGCACGTGACTGAGGCTCCATCCGTCGACTCTTTCAAAAGAAAGTTAGATCAACTGAGAGACCGCTATTACCAGGACGAAAACAGGCCATCAAGCCTCCTGTCCTTTCGAAACTGAAACTTAGTCCTTAAGAATAGGCCTAGCTGTTTCTTAGTGGACGCCTGGGAAGTCGCTTGAATTAGCTTAGCCGGCAGTGAATTTCATCAATTGACAACTCTTAAGGAGTAGAAGTTGTGTCAGTTCTGCTGCGTTGTGTCTCTAGTTGCTGGGTGTTACCTCTTAGGTTTGTGTTGCAGCCAAACATAAGTAGGTGTCTAATGGGATGTCCAGAAGTACTAAGGAGGCTGTAAGCCATTAGGTAACTGTAATAGGTAAAGGATAGTGATTAAAGGGTGCTCTTTATAAGGCTTGAATTTGAGTCCCCGAGCTGATTTCGTGGCTCGCCATTGGTTGCGCTACAGAGTGTCCTTATCATTTTGCAGTGAGGGATGAAATACTATGTTTTGTACTCTAAATCGGGACGAATAAAACTGTTAAAGATTATATAGAAAGTTCTTCCGTCAAACTGGTCAAAAATGCGCTTCAATTTTACCAATGTAAGGTTTGCCAGAAAGGCATTTTTCTCACAATTAGAATAAGATTTCAAATCGTAGATTACCAGCACCCTTGAATCTTTTTCAAATTAAGATAATCCTAAAGAGGAGTTTCCTACGTTGTGACTGTAGTGTGCAGTATGTTTCGGATGGACTGCTTTACACCTTGAAGTGTTAAATGTATGTCCGTCGTCATCTCTCCAATGTTAAAGTCGATTCAGATCCTCCTGAAATGCTAGTATATCCTCGTGGTTGCGAATGTCCCTCTCACTCTCTCCCTCCAAAGTTTCACGTCATCATCAGACGATACCTTTTGTGGAAGTTCGTTAATATAAATCAAGAAAAGAAGAGGTCCTAGTAATGAACCTTTGAGGACCCCACTAGGCCACTCCGTAGTCTGGGAGAAAGTGAAGTTAACCGTGACCTTAAAATGTCGATTTTATAGGTATGAAGTAGTCCAATAAATTAGAGGTGATTTGATACCCATTCGCTTGAGTTTATTAGTAGGACACATACGGTTGGCCCTATCAAAAGCTTTTGAGAAGTCAAGGTAAACAGTGTCAACCTTCCTCTTGCAAGCAAGGATGGTTGTCCGTCGATACACTGCAGTCAACGGGTTGCTTATACTAGAATGACCCTTCGTGAAGCCATGCTGTTGGGGTGAAAAGATATTTAAGGCTATTAAACAGTCGTCTTCACGGTCACATATCAGGGACTCCTTTATTTTTGAACCTAGGGAGAGAAGAACCGGCGGTCAGTAGCTTGAAGGTTCGCTGCGTTGACCTCTTTTGAAAATTGGTGTGATGTCAGCCAGCATCCGAATTTCTAGTGGTTTGCCTCGGCTTAGAGAGCGTGAGAACATCACGCAAAGCGGTGTTGAAGGGATTGAAGCTGCTTTCTTCAGTGTGGCAGAATGAACCATATCCGGCACAGGAGAAGTGTCTTTTCTTAGGTGCTGCAGTTTCCGGTACTCCAAGTCAGCGCTAAGGTTCACTTCGGAAAGTCTTGTGCAGTTGCAGATGAAACATTCATCAATATAGTTGATGTGGGTCGGTTCAGATGTCCGAGAGTATTGTTCAACCAGAAGGTTAGCGCATCACCGTTGTTATTGGCAGGGCCACTGTAACCAAGCAGTTGGGGTACTGCAGTTTTGGTTTGTCGAAGAGTGATCGCATGACGGAATAAGGGTTTTTTATTGGAGACAAATTTATCCGTAAGCTTTATCTGGTACTGAAGCCTATCTTATCTTATTGCCTTTGTGCATATGTTCCTTATATGTTTGTATTGTCTGTGCACATCATTGTTATCAGCTTGTTTGCATTCCACCCAATAGCGCCTTTTGCGGCTTAGCAAAAGAAGAGTGCGGTTCTTAACGTCTGTCGGTTGCTTGTAGATTTTGGGGACCATGTGAAAGATAATCCTTCCAGCAAACGATTGTCGTACTTCATGTCTGCAGTGGGCTTACTGTAGATGACGCCAAATAAACACCTCGAGGTGGTAGACAACCTTACTGAGCAACATACGGATTCATCAAGATTGATAAACTCTTGATTTTGCATTTGATGTACTTTCAGGCATGATCATAAGTATAAGGCTACTCTAACCGAAATTCCTGTTTTTCTGTCATTGCGAAACAAAGACATCCCGAGTATTGCTGGCTCATGGTCTATAAGCTGAGAAGATATCCAAGTTTCAGATATGCTTATCAGATGAGCATTGTTAGCATTACTGAGTTCACCTAACTCATCCATTTTATTCGGTAAACTCGCAGCGTTCATGTAGAAGCAGTTTATTCTTTCAATTTGAAACTCGCGAGCTTCTCCGTCCTGTTTGTCTGTATGGACCTTATGTAAATGAACAGGTAGCCTACCGATACAAGGTTTTCCGAGTTATTGGCCTCCGTCTTTCCAACATTTTTTATGAACAAGACAGTCCACAGGGGGATGGTCAGCTCCAACTCGCCTTTGTGCTTCCATAGTTGCAGCCGCCATATGGGAGGATGGGAAATTTATCTTCATTAAACGGGTTCTAAAATCTCCGTCCTTCTTGTCTAGTCTCATCACTTGTTGAGACAGTGTGTTTTTGAGCTTTAAGGATTGCTTGATATCAGAGTTTGTGTCTTCCGGTACACTTCGCACCATGATATTTCTTCCACGGAAGAACTTCTCGTGAGATTCCTTATGAACATTTCGAATGTAATAACGCTCAGAATACGGTATGTCAGACAGTATTCTTTTATTTTCATCTGATTTCAGTAAGTGACTGGCTAGTACAATATCCTCTACCTCGGTAGCGTCAGTGAATGTAGCACGAAGTAGCCTTGGGTGGTTCTAATGCTTAGAGTCCTCTCTCCGAGTGAGCCGTTTGACCATCAAGGGTTCTGTCTTGTAAAGTTTAAGCTTCTTGTTTAATTCTTCCCAGAGCGTTCTGTCATGTTTGTCCTGCAAACTGATTATAAGAGAATCATCACTAACCGTTATTAATTTCCTGGGTTTTCCAGTGCGTTCAGGTTGCAAACCTTGCTTTTTGGAGGTGGAAGCGCGTTTCCGATTCTTAGGATCTTCGATTAGCGTATGAGCATTCTTGGGGGTAGACTGTGAGGTCAAATCACCAGTCAATTTCCCCAAAATACTTGGGATGTTCAGCTTAGACGGTGACGCCTAGTACTTTTTAAGTTCGTTAACAGGGTTCATTCACCTGCAGAAGTTTTGGGAACCACCGTTGCATTCAGAGATCCTGTGCTGGGAGACAAAATCTCCTGAGGGAGTCTATTGCCGTCGACGTTGTGATGGTGCTGAGTTTCAGCATGTCATCACTGGAGTTAATACATACTCCATCGATAGCAGAGCTGTCGAGATCCCTTTTCTTGTTTTCATTGCGCGTCTTTGTTTGTCTAACTCTTTAGGACTGTCCTTTTTCAAGTTTGCTGACAACTTATTTCGCAGGCCTGTCAATAGGACAATGATGCTGCTCACCAAAACGTCAGCATCCGTGTTGTACATGACACATACCAACCTAAGATCTGACTTACTAAGTCTGTTTTTAGCAGTTACTGTGATATCTGTGCACGCTTCGAGCAAATAACGTTTGCAATTGTCGCACTGCGCAACAGACGTAACAGCGAAACGGCATCCAGGTCGTTTGCATGAATGTTCCATAACTAAAGTTACGTAAATTGTCTTATAGATCTTAGCGAGAGCCTAAGACCATAAAAAGCAGTACGATAAAAACGGGTAAAAATGGATTAATACGGATGGCACAAAAGCTAACGATAAACTAAAACTAACATTGGCGTGAAAAACTGATAAACGGAATAAAGGCTTATACAAGAAACGGAAACTCGCTGGACATCTTTGTGCTGAGAATCTCAATCAGCCAAATTTGGGGAAATTTTGGGTAAATCCCCAAAGTCAAACGACCTTCACCAAGATTTAAAGAAAGTTTTTGGGTTTTGGTTCCATTTCTTCAAAGTTTACTATAGCGACTTCCCCAAAATGAGTCAAATTTTCACCGAAGTTGCGAGATCGGGTTGTATTAATAATACTGGATAATGGTAATAATAAATAAATGTATATATTACTGAAACTCCATTGAATTTTGAATACGTTGAAGGTAACTTATTAAACTTTGCAGTCTAGTTTTGTGGTATGTGACGCTTAAACTACTTGTCCTCATGAAAGTTCAGTACGTTTTCGAATCTATGGAGAAAAGTATTTGCTATTGTTAATCCCTAATTGTAATGTGCTCAATAATCCTCTTAATAAAGTTTGGTGATTTCGATAGTCAAAACTATGTGCGCCTAAAAGTTATGTCTGGTCCTATGGCCAGCGATTAAATGTTTTTTCTTCAAAATAAGTTTTCCGTTGTAATAATACCACATGTATGTATATTTAACTATTGTTATCAATTAGAATCGGTACTTAAGTTACTAAACTATTGGTTTTCGAATGTCATCGTCATTAACCTACGTCAAATCAATATTAAATTTCAGTGTGATTACTTTAGGTTGACAGTGCTTGTGGTGGATGAAATGTTAGTGTCCTTATAGAGAATGAAATACGATGTAGTTAGCTATCCCTAGCAGCCAAATTAGAACCAGTGAACAAACAATGACACAAGAATCTCTCTAATCAACAAGTTAATTCAGTAGGCAGAACGGAATCGTAATAACTACGATCATCAAACAACATGCTCAAATTCGTTTCTTGTAGTATCACAGTGAAAACAAATTTAGGACTAATTAAATTTTCATTAACCATACACTACATCAGAGATCTTTATTAATGGAACGATGATACGTCCAACTCATAACAACCTCACTAGAGAATATCCTTCTGATATGCTTCTCCATCGTGAAGATAATGTAATCAACAACTCAAGAACACCAGCAGTAAATAAGTTGAGGTGTAATTTAACACCACTATCGTTGTCATCATCTCCTTTCACGTTGAGCACTCGATGTACGTATTTGATTCTACCTTGTACATTAAGTGCTTCAGCTAACAGTGAGCGTTTCTATTCAGTTCGATCAGTATGTTCGCACTTTTTTGCCAACATTCCCGACTGAAATGTCCTTCATTCAGGCACACAATATGCAATCTCATACATCCTATGAAATTCAATCTCTGCGTCTTATCAAAACTTTCGATAGTTTTGCACAGTTCCATGTAGTGACCTACCATAATTAGAAAACATCCACTTCCTTGATTCACACAGTTATCTTTTCCGTTTGTGTAGAATCGGTCTCGTAATGATGGCTCATCTGTCATTGAGGTTGACCTGTGTAATATCGCCACAAACCACTCAAGAGCGGGTCCTACTATTTCCACAATATACTAAGACTTCGATTTATTTCCCCTTTCCTCTATGGAAAATATCAACTTGACCCACTGTCTTTGAAATCGTGGAGGTGAGTGACTAGACACTACCCGAAACACTGACGTGAAGTTTTGTTCATTCTCCATTTCTATAGACGACAAGATACTTCTACAACCTAGCAAACCGTACAGACATGACTTCATGTTTTCGCATGGGACTGAATGCGCAAAACACTTGTGACACATGTTGACTGAGTATCAGTGATTTCGTTAATACATGTGAACTGAAGTTGCACATTTATGACAATCAGATTTCACCAACTGGGTTTCGACGAAAATCAGATTTGTTTTCAAACGCAATTCATGTAAATGATGCTATCACACGTACCATAAATAAACCCGAAGAACAAAATCAAATGAATGTACATGAACAAGACGGATTTTTGAAATGCCATCAACAACTGTTATTGTACTTATTAAGTGACAAGAAAGTGAATGAAGAAACCAACAAACGAATGTTTGTCCACGAAAATGATTTTCCAATGGCTCAATATATAAACAAGCAAACACTTCCAGATCAATCCATGCAATTCGAATACATTAAGGACGAAAAAACAAAGAGGCAGATTTAATTTACACGAACAAAGAATTATAGAGAGCATTACAACGGACAAATTTACCCACTCTTCCTCTTCGTCTGTTTGAACTTGCAATAACTATCAAACACCACGATCAGTATTCACTGATATAAATGAAAGTCGACAGATTTCGACACTTGTTCAACTTGCTAAAAGTTGATGTGTTAGACAGAAAATGAACAAGAATGATTAGTGAATCTTCAGAAAGCTGGCAATCACTTCAATTAGTAGTCACTGAACATAATGAAATTAGTAAAATTTATCAAACAGAAGCGTCATGAGGGTGAAATCAGACTCAAAGTGAGACAATAGAAAGTGAAGGTCAACGACAAAGAAGGAATATCTAGTTTGAAAGCTGCTGTATGTTACTAATAAGAGAGGAAGCTTTCTTTGTGTACTTATAGTCGAAATTGATTCGTTTAATGGTGTCTAGAGGACATATGGAAACCATCCATCTGAAATAGTGTCAGACAAACAAAAACAATCACTGAAAAGTAAATTATTTGTCAATGTCATTACATGTGGGTCTTTGTGGAATATGATCGTTGAATGAATCATTTCAGTCAATTTGGTTGGTGGTTATTTTAAGTATAATCGAAATGTGCTTCAATGTGTGCTTGCATTCTAAACGAATATTTTCTATGCAGAAATTTAGTTCAATCGGGAAACACTTGCATAACAGAACATCTATTTAAACAACAGAATGCTTCACAATAATTTTCAAAATATTTCATATGAATATATGTGAACTTATTAAAGCATCCAATGAAATAGGATCTACTCATCGTGTCTAATCATTGTCTCATTCAGTTTTTCACTCCGCTCCATTGACAGTCGAGGACTGAATTAAAGAAAAACTCTGAATTGACGCTCATTATAAAGTATTCACAAAACCATACGAAAATAACGTAGAGTTCAGTAAAATGCTCTTCTTCGCGGTGTCGCTTCAGATAATCTGTTGTGAATATAATCACCTGTAATTATGAAAAGTAGATGATTACTTCATTATCAGTGCACTCATATTAACAAATGTATTAGTGAAATATTAGGCATTTAAATACTTAGGGTTACACACTTAGTAATGTCTGAACATTCATACATAACAAATGAACAGTAAGTGCCTTATATTTTTATTTGTAAAATATTAACAGATAATCGTTTGCCTATCGGAGCATCAAACAAACTGAGCCAACCAACAAATCATCGCCACTCTTTCAGCCATTCAGCTTGGCATGTCGTTATGTTTGCTTTGAAATTTTTTGTGATGATTTCTTGTGATTGCTGTGGACAGAGAACACTAATGCTGCAAAGTTCTAATTTCAGCAGAACGATATTATTGGATGCATTATAAACGATGGACGGTTATTTGCATTAACATTTAATTATTTATTCAAAACTTACAATAAACGTTGAGCAGCACCAACAAAGCCAGGCATCACCTTGTAAAACATTCTAGAATAAAGGAAAGAAAACAATTCACTTCAATTCATCATGTATCTATATCAATATCAGTGAAGAAACAGTGTTACTCTACTAATTAACTCTACCAATTTTAATATAATATTTAGCTGACTGACTGAATTCATGGAAGAGTTCGGTCAGTCTGTTATTCTGAAATTCGACATCATTCTGTCTCATGATTGACAGTTGTCTAAACAACGATTTAATTTCATCAAAGACAGTATCATGAAACATTCGAGCTACGTATTCCACGAGTGCGAAATCGTTGCTTGAAGATGTACTGTTCTGGTTTTGCTGTAATTTCCGGTTATAATCAATCATTATACATAGAACTGAGAATCAATTTCTCAAATGATAACATTATTTCATGATGCTTTGTACCAACAACATTCAGTATAAACACCACAACAGATGGCAGACGTTTACCAATTTCAATTCCCGTGTAAACGAAACTGGTTTCATTTTGCAATTTATACGTGATGAAAATATGATGGTGCAAACACTATGGCGAAGTGATGTGAATAAACGTTCAAAGCAGTTGAACATGAATTGGAAGGCGAAGATTTGTTTGGAATGTTCTTCAATGAAATATAAATTGAAAATTTATTTCTGTTTTGGTGTAGGAAACGTTTCATCAGTGTTCATGATCGGCATATTTTATTAGGAGAACTGTAGCTATTCGAGAAAACCAATCAATAATAACCAATAATCACTACTAGTTTGTGGAAAACTATGATTAGATCAACTTACTTTTTTAAATACCAACCCTAAAATAAAGAGAATGAATCCAATTCCTGCAAATACAAAACATATCATGATCAAGATCGTCTTGAATTTCTCTTCCACATCTTCTAGCTTCATACCCATAAAAATGGCTAAGATGGTGAATCCGGTAGCCAAAGGTAGAGAAATAAATATTTCATACACTTGTGCACATGAAATTAATAACGCAAAACCAGTACTAATAATTATCATCTGAATAAGGAAAAAAGTAACATCAAATAACCATTAATTCAGAAGTTGAATCGGTCAACGACTGGAGAAATAATGAAAGAATAATGTTCACTCTCCTGCATTCGATTGAAATGGTTAAAATGAATATATTTATGGATACAAGCACATGGCAAGGAATGCTTATTCAAGTCCCTCATAGTGACAAACTTGAAATATTTTCAAAGCTAATTCGCTCAATCAGTACACACGACCATGTTATGTGAGGTTTATTACCTAAATGGTGTGAGTTATAGTAACTTGGGTAAACCAAAAACCACGACAGCTAGTGGTGACTGCCACTTGAGGCACCAAATGATGACATGTACATCACTGAATACAAGTTTAGTGATAGACAAAGTGAGTGGATGATTATAGAAATTCACATGAAGAAATCAAACTTGTTTAGTTGTTCTACGTTCACAACTCATTCCATATCTTACAAATAGTAATATCAACAAACATAGATAAGAGTAGGATGTGCCGTTATCGCGTGTATCCACGTCTACATATTTCTGAATTATCCATAACATGGACAGATACCTTTTAATGTTATATAATTCTCATCATTTAACAGTTGAGTAATACCTGATAATCCAACCGGATCTAAAATGATCTAGTTATAAACGTCAAAATTTTTATGGAATCAGTGAAATTATAGAAACTGGATATCTATGCATACTGACATCTCAAAACACAACGTTGAAACTCATCTGTTCAAGTGAACCTTCAAACATTCTTTTATCTCCATCACCGTTATCAAACTAACATGACAGTATTTACATTATTCAACAAACAAATCTACAATAAATTCAATCGATGGTCGGATGAAAATATCATTAATGCAATAGTAAGCCATATTCAACTGACGGTGATAACGATGAAGATAGTGTTCATTGTGGATGAAGAATGTAGTTTCTTAATAAATATGATTATTAATCCAAGAACTAATCCGATCAATCTGAAATATAAAAGAACAAAATGAACAACATACTAGACTCAAAGATACAATAGACCATAGTGATGTGCATCAGATGTTCTACCTAATCTGAGTTCATGAAATCGCTGAAAAAGTTCCTCAACGTTTCAGTTTGACATTTTGAAATAACACGAATCTTGTCAAAATGATCGAGAAATGGATGAAATTATAAATGATCCCTTGAAACTTTTATTTCATCCCCCCAAATGCCTTGGTACGGCGGAGGTTGCGAAGAAATAGGTCTCCATCTTGAAATTCTCTCACATGGACACGCTAATACAGCCACTGCCAGACAAGTTTTACTCACTACCTTCTTCTGGTATGGGTATCGTTTGTGAAATCGAGAGGAAGAAAAGCTAATTTCCGGCGCTTTTACCGCGTTAGTGGAGACGAAGCGTCCACATGGGTGAGTTTGAAAACCATGATTCCAAACTGATGGTGCACATGGGCTCCAGGATCCTGAGGGACTGAATGGCGTATGAACCCATTATTGGTCACCGGCTGACATGAGGATGCATCTGCTAATGCTGCTGAATCGCCCTGCTGGTCATACATTTAGGTTGAGGGCTCCGGGTGTAGGTCCCTATGGAAACCACCTGTTTCGGTCTGATCACCCGGGCAGTATAACAGCTCACACACAAATGAAGTGGCTTGTGTGTCATATATGTATTCGCTGACACTCTTCTACCAAAATTTATTATTTGAAACAAATAAGTAAATACATTTCAGTATGATCATTTATTGTGATGTGATGTAACACAAAATGAGAATGATTTGTGCTGGGAAAGAAACGAACTAGTTTTCTCTTCCTCATCATAATATTCTCGTCAAACACGGGTCAAATTACTTATACCAGTGTAATAATCGATTCACTGAATAATACATAATAGTAATACACGAAAAATTGTCGATATGATTCTCGGAGAATACGTATATTTCAAGCATATATTACTTACGTTAATATGAGACCACTGAGAACAACTGGATCTCCAACATTTTGGAAGCTGAATCTGTCAAATCGAATGGAAAATGTCTTACATGCAACAAGATTTATTTTGACTGGTTTCATTTGACACGTCATCAAATTCGAATGTCGTCATCGCTTGACTATCTGCAATGGAGATTTGTGAACAATTCACCTTCCACAATCACCAATTCCAAGTTTAACTGAAATAAGTAAGAAATCCAAATACAGTAATGGAGATATTCAATATCACGGATTACATAAAACCTCAAATGTCTACTCGCGTGCCTATTCCTTTCTTTTTCATTGTATTTCAACAAGTATGGATTCATGTACAGAATTTGAATTTCATCTGACTAGTTAGGCGTATCACCTTTACGAGAATTATAACAAAGATTGCAAGCCACTGAGAATAGATCTTATTAGATTCACGCTAGCTGCTCATGGCATACGATGGTTTAAAGTCGTCATCGTTAACGTACCCACTTCATTGAATATAAATAACACTGACCAACCTAATCATCCCCATAAATGATGCTCAATGGAAGTATGCTTTCAGAACAGGTTTTGTCACATTGTAAAGTGTGCTGAAGGCAGTGAGTAGAATGTGTGGTGAGTCTCCCAAGATTATTACAGACATGGTTGTTGATAGACATTGAAAATCTTGCAAACTGCTGAAAAGTGATTTCCTTTCAATTATTTTCCATCCAATTCATTAGTGTCTTTCACCTTCAATGAGACTCTTGTGTTTGGAAAAGAAACTAGTTGGAATCATCTGTGCTGAGTGTCTTATATTGTCGTTAGCCTATTACATCGAACGAAACTGTTGTTATTGATCCTTATAAAACGACTTATCAGCAGGTCGAAACTCATCCTTAATTCACACCATTCGACAGAAATTGACAAACTCACATGGAATGATTCTGATGTTCAGTAAAATGGACTCAATAAAATTACACAAATTTATAACAAAATTCACCAATTACTTTGAATCAAATTTATTAATTTATGAGTGGTTATTCTTTCATCGAACTTTGGTTAATATAACTTTATACAAAACAACAGGATAAGTGATTTAGTTAATAATGAAAAAACTGATTTAACTCTTAGTTCATTGTGAACGAATACGCGATAGTACCTCGAAATGAGAATGATCATGTTGCTCTGATGAGCTTAATGACAAAATGTAGTCTCTACATAGTATTGATGCCAAAAGAAACAAACGTTTTTAACTTGTTCATTCCGTTGACTATATACACATATCATGTTTCATGTGATAGATATTTGGATAAGGATGAGTGCTTTAAAAATCAATCAACAAATAGAAAACTATTTCCCACCCAATGATCAATGACAAACTTATAAACCATTTCACAGTTTTGTTATCCAAATCATCAAGCATGATTCCTATGAAGAATATAATGTTCAAGGACATGAATGTCGATCAAATCCATTCTGTTAAAATATGAAATTATACATCTTTAGGTTTATGATTATTTGTGTTCAGGTCTATCAATTTCAATGAAACATATCAATCTCATCATCTACACTGTAAAGCTATATAATAATAATAGAATATATTTCAACTTGCATGACTTGTCATATTTTCATCCACGAACACTGCATGATTTGACAATAATACACATATACTGTTGTTATTTCAAAAAATGAAGTGACTAGATGAAATAATGAATTCCTCATTAACCCACAAACATCAGTTGTAGGAAACACACCAGTCCGAACACCGAATAATTTATATTTGATACGATGATTAACTCCTGAGTCAGTTAGTCAACTACAATGTACGAGAAGGCACATATATGCATCGGTCCAAGTTACCATACCTCATTAGCACAAGAAGCTGGATAACGGATTCATAGAAGTAGTTAATTCAATGGTCGTAATATATAAGGGAAAGATTGTATTTGAGGATACAGTACAGGGAGGAATAATTGGTTCGTAGAAAGAAAAGTATAAAGTCACTTTAATCCCATGGTTTAAGGGAAGACGCAGAGTGTACACACCGACGCCAGTGTGATCAATTTTGAGCTATGTCACCAAGAGTCTCCAATCATTAGTTACGATAGTCGCGCGAACCCCAACCAAGTAGTCTCCATCTGTCAACATCGCCAAAATTAGGAGTTAATGTCTTCAAGCACTGATGTCACGTTTTGGTTTTGCCACTCCTAACCTTCTTCCAAACATCCCCAACACCGGTTATTATTGCACGTCGTGGTAATTAGTGTTCAGGCATACGTGACACGTGGCTTATTCATCTCAGTTGATAAAGATTTACAACCTCATCGACTGATTTACCACAATTCCTTAATATCATGCGTATGACCTCACCATTAATTACCTGATGATCTCAGCACATGAGAGTTATATTCTTAAGATATCAGTAGTCGAATACTAGTAGCTTACGAATATCTTCTCCTTTTAACGTCTACGTTTCGCAACCGCAAAGTAGAACAGAACAAACCGCCTCGCAGTATACTCGTCCTTTAATTGGTAGAAAAATATCTCGCATTCGTCATAGGTGACGTAAGTTGGCAAAAGCTCAACGAGCAGTCTAAATCCATGCAGAGATTTCGTCAGATACCAACCCATTAGGGCTGATCAGAATCTCAAATTAAGGGAAGCTGTCAGCGCGTTCGACTACTTCACTCCCTATCCTTAGTCCAGGTATTGACGCAGGCCAGTCCTGAAGCAACAGTTTGCATTTAGAATGGAAGAAACGAATCTCAAACATCCTAGCATTGTTTTTCAGTGTTCATAGAAGACTGCGTTCAATCAGCGTCTTCACCAAAGAGGATTATATCATCTGCCTATTCTAAATCAATAAGTGAGGTCCCTGGTAGGGGATCAATACCCAAAAACTTAGTAGACGAGAATGTTATATCCAGCAGTAGGTCTATGATGAAGCTGAACAAAAATTGACCTCTCCTTATGTATTGGGATAATCAGTCATTTTGACCAGATGGGATTACGTCCAACTCTCAGATTTAGCTAAAATATTGTTCAACCTAATCGCGAAGACTGAACGACCATCCTTGAAGACCTTTGGAGTTAGTCCATCTGGACCACCTGCTTTCCCTCACTTCATATTAGCTTTAGCTTCTGAACTTCAGTCAGAGTCGACGGACCTACTTCAATGTTCCATTCAGGCTTTCTGGGAATAGTGGATAGTTGTAGAGTAGCTTATGGCCAGCTAGACTGCTCCTTAAAGTGTTCCGCCCATCGTTCTCAACGTTTGAGCTGAGAGAAAGTAACAGTGCCATCCTTTTCTGAGATCGTCTCACCAACATCTGAATTCTTAATTCCAGTTTCTTTTATTGGTCTGAAAAGTTGTCTGGTGTTTCCTACAGCCACTGCCTTTTCCATCTCTTTTATTTCGTTGCCCACCACTGATCACTGTCGTTCCCTAGGCTTCTGAATAACCTAGATCCCGTTTTCTTTCGTTCTTCATATTGTTCTGAGCCTGATGGGAGGCGTTTACGAGAATCTATCAGTGCAATGAACTTAGTAGAAATCCATCGGTTTTTTGTAACCCTTTGGTTTAAATCACTGATGGACGTCACTTTCGTTCGTATATCTTTCGATGCAACATCTTGGTGAGTCTCGTTTGCAGAACTACCTGGGTGTAACCTCAGTTGTTCCTAGAATCTTCTATTGACTTTTTCGTCACCGAGTTCATTTCTAATAGGTCTTCTTAGTGTGATTCTTCTGCAACCAGTGAGACACAAGCAAATGCGTGGTCGTATTACAGCATGATGTGAGTCCAAACAGGTATTCCAGAACGAGTGACAGTCTTCTATCGGGCCTCTCCAACGATCACTGATAACAATATGGTCTATTTGAGTCCATCGTCGGTTTGATGTAGTGGGTCGCCATGTTAGATGATGTCTCTTCTTATGCCTCAAATTAGTGTTTGCTAAAAGTAAGCGATTGCCTGGGCACAATGCAGCAGAGGACTACCATTATCTATCAAATGAGACAGGAATTAACGCCTAAATTCTGTATGTGGCTATTATTTACATTCAATCTACCACGTACGTGCGGTATTTTTCAATTCACATACACTTTAAATCCTTCGCATTATTCAAGACCACCATTTCACATACATAATCTAGCAGACTGTTGGATCGTTTTGTTTACTATCACTTATCATATTATCCTAATTTCCTCTTTGACATTACCAGAAGTGATTACATCGGAACATAATAGTTACAAATGGAAGGATAATTATACGTGTTGTTTCTCTCATTTACATGATATGAGACTGGATGTCACGTCACGACAAAACTCATAACATCCAAGCATATTAAGTCGGTCTGTAATTGTTCATGCACATTCACAATCTACAGTTTGGTTCCACTGTTAACCTACACTTCATCATACACATACATCAAGTTTTCTAAACATTGAAGCATACCATTATAATATCCAAAACATGATGTGGTAGGAGTTCTAAACAGCTCAGCAAAGTATGTTCGACTGGCATTAATCATGTCATTTAAAGAGTTCTTCCAACAAATTCTAATTCTGCGTCAAGAATTCACTTTGATGAGCATGTCAATCGGAACGTTCTATGCTGAACCGTTTTAAGTTGCATATAGTAAAATTGAAGGGGATATTCCCCTAGTGACTTTCAGTGCTTCTGGATATTTAATAATTTTTTCAAAGTATAATTAGTTAGTTGGGTTGTAGATGCACTTTCAGTGTATTTGATTCTTCAGTAAGATGTATTCAGCTATCAACTATTCATTTTGATCAGTTCATAGATCGGTGTTTTTAATGAATGTTAAAGCGCATACGTGAGTGATTATTAGTGTTCCGTACTGACTAGTCCATTAATAAATCATCTTTTTCAAGGAACGCCAGCATAAACAATTTCACACAAAATGGATTGATACAAACGTCTAATGAACGGCCATTAGATTGTATGAAAACTAGTTACGACTATTGACTAACTATTTACACAGTGGTTTGATTAGTGATCCATTACAATCATGATCGCCATCTCGAAAATGATGTATCAGTTCACCGGATTGGATCATCAGATTATAATAACCCTCAGCCACATGTCTAAACATCAAGAAACCATGATAAATAAAATTGAAACCGCTTAAAACTATAAACATATATCATGTTCGCATACTTACAACCTTTATAAATGGTAATAAAATTCGTTAACCGTGTT